CCAGAGTTCCACTTAAATTATCCGACAAATACATATACACGCAGTGCTTACGCATAATATATTTGTTTAAACAAATGGATTCGTAGTGTCTTTGGGTGCCGGTTATGGTAATCACCGGGAGGAAAGCAAGTTGATATTTGTTTGTTAACTAATGCGCATTAAATTGCCCGCACACGCATTAGACTGGATTAAAACAAATCTGAATTTGCTCAGGATGAGCGCAAAGGCTGAAAAGTGTTTCCGTTCACAGAAGCAGTTTTTCCTGATCAACAACCACTTGTTAAATTTTACATTGGAAAGGCCAAAATCCGAAATGGCTCCTTTTATCTTGGAACTGATATGTTATGGTTTTAGTGGCCTACCAGTTTCTGCAGCCAGCTTTGGAAATGCTTAACTAGAATATTTTGGCGGTAGTTTTTAACTTTCAGTCGCCACATATAAGTGTCTGGAAGCTCGATTTCTCATGCCGAAAAATATTTGAACACTTTGTAAATAACTCAGTGGGGGAGTGCATTCCTGTCACTTGCAGCGCAGGTCCCCAATCCTGGTTAAGTACCGGCGCTAATAACAGTTCGCGAGCACTAGTTTCTCGTTCGGCAAATAAATATTTACAAGGCAAGCGATCAGCAGTTGTTTCTAATTTGATTTGACACACGGCATTTGCCCGGCGCCCCTGTCGGAGAGTTGCTTGCCGTCCTAGAAGGGGTATTTTACAAAAATTGTCAGTTTGATAATAAATTGATTGTGAGTGGAAGTTATGTTCCCACAATGAGTCAAATTGAGCAAGACAAACGTGCGTCTCTTCCTTGTGCCCAGTAAGCGACGTGAAGGGACGGAGCAAACAATGAGGGGATATGGATTTTTAATCTGAAGATCTCAGTTTTATACAGCGCCTAAAACTAAAATCAAAAGCAGAAATCTCCCTCCGCATATAGAAAGTAGAGGTACTAGCTCCGCCGTTCAAAGACTGTTCATAAGCATAAAGTGTTTAAAGCTGAAGCCGTCAAAAACATGTAGTAATTTTTCCATCCTTTCGCTATATTCGTTTCATAATATAATGAAATAAGCAAGCAAGAACGACATCAGGCCACTAATTCGTGATAAGTGAAGAACT